TGTGTGTGTGTGTATTAAAAAAATTAGAATACTGACCTACAGATACTGGCCCATTGTGAAGTGCGTGTGGGGGGGAGGGAGCAAGTTATATGGATCTGGTGATTCAATTTTATTCAGACAAGCACACTAGCTTCCTGTCTATGTGTACGCACCCTCACGTGTTAGTGTGAGCAGGGAGGAAGGTGTGGAAGGCCAGGTGTTGGCACTGGGAATCCCGTACAGGAGAGAATGGAGGGGAAGGAAGTGCGAGAGGGAGACGTCAGCTTCTGGTGTCCTTATAAGAGGAGAGACACTGAGACACAAATAGTAGCTTAGTATTGTGTTGTTTCACTTCTGACCACAAACTTGCACTGATTTGAACATGAAAAATAACAAATGAAGACAAACACAAACAAGTGGTCCAATGAAAGACTCTCATACATTGCTTCTAAGAACATAAAGTGTCTGATCTCCATGGAGGGCCCTTGTGCAATCACTTTCAAAAATATAAATGTACCCAACGTGCCTGTTCCTCCAGACCCAGTAATTCCGCGTTTACATATGAACTTCTCAGGGGGCAAAAAGTTGTCCGTACAAAGACAATCATGGCAACATTATTTGTAGAAGTTAAAGGTTGGAAATGTAAATATTCATCAGTGGTAGACAGATTAAATTAATTATAGTTCATACACAGTGGGATACTTAGCAGGCAATTAAAAAGAAAGAGAGAGAGAGGGTCTTCTAGATAGAGTGAGGAGAGCAAGGTGCAGAACAGCATTCTGTTAGTTTCCAGGACTGCCGGGAGTGACTTAAAACAGCAGACATTTTCACAGCAAAGGAAACCATCAATGAAATGAAAAGGCAACCTACCAAATGGGAGAAGATATTTGCAAACAATATATCCAACAAGGGGTTAATATCCAAAATACATAAAGAGCTCATGCAACTCAAAAACAAAAACAAAAACAAAAAAAACAATCTGATTAAGAAATGAGCAGAGGACCTGCATAGACATTTCTCCAAAGAGGACATACAGATGGCCAATAGACATATGAAAAGACACTAATCATCAGGGAAATGCAAATCAAAACTACAATGAGATATTACCTTATACCTGCCAGAATGGCTATTATAAAAAAGATAACAAACATCCAGTGTTGGTCAGAATATGGAGAAAAAGGAACCCTCGTGCACTGTTGGTGGGATTGCAAATTGGTGCAGCCACTGAAAACTGTATGGAAGTTCCTCAAAAAATTAAAAATAGAACTACCTTATGACCCAGCAATTCCACCACTTCTGGGCATTTATCCAAAGAGGATGAAAACACTAATTTGAAAAGATATGTACACCCCTATGTTCACTGCAGCATTATTTACAATAACCAAGATATGGAAGCAACCAAGGTATTCATTGATAGACAAAGAAGATGTGGTTCATATGTACAATAGAATATTGTACTCAGCCATAAAAAAATGACATCTTGCCATTTGTGATAACATGGATGGACCTAGAGGGTATTACAAGTCAGAGAAAGACAAATTTCATATGATTTCACTTATATGTGGAATCTAAAAAACAAACCAAAACAAACCAAAACAGAAACAGACTCATAGACACAGAGAACAAACTGATGATTGCTAGAGGGGAGGGAAGCAGACGGAAGAGTGAAAAAGGTGAACGGGATGGAGACGTACAAACTTCCAGTTATAGAGCAAGTAAGCCACGAGGATGTAATGTGTAGCACGGGGAAGAGAGTCAATAATATTGTAATTTTAGCTGGAGTTCCTGCAGCCTGTGTTTGGTTGAGGCCCACCCTAGGAGAGGCTGGGGGAGCCGGGTGAGGAAGAAGGAGGTTGGGGGGCTGGTAGAACCTGAGGTTGTCCACCCTCTGTGCCTTCCTTTTTTTTTTTTTAGCTGAGCCATCCTGCCACCTGTTGGCAGCTCAGCAGCAGCTCAGCTTGGGCCGGGCATCGAACCGCTGTTGCTCAGAGCTCGCACTCTTGAGCGAGCTCTTAACCAACTGAGCCACTCGGCCGGCCCTGTGCCTTCCTGGTGAGGGGAGATGGGCCCGACTGCATGCCTGTGGAGCATCAACTCTGATAAATATTTCTGGAGGTTCTGGAACAACCCTCCTTGCCCAGGCTGGGTCCCCTCATGAGGGACATTGAGCTGATAGACGGGCTGTGAAGGCCTCTTTAGCTTCCTGCTCCAGGAAGCCCTCTGCCCCTTCCCAGTCTCCTGTCCTTTCTGTGCCACTCTTGGAGTGCCACTCTTTTTTTCTCACCTGCCTGCTCTGTGACCTGGCCTCCTCCCAGTGTCAGCTGTTCCAAGCTGAGCTCACAGCTTTTCATCTTTGTGTGCCAAGGTCAGGTTACAAATGCACATAGAACAGAATTTAACTCTGATGTGAAGGCTTCATGACTTGTTTAAGAAGTGTCATGATCTTATATAGGTAGCATGGGCAGAAGTTGGGGTCGTGGTGGAACCAGGGCCTGGCCTGAGTCAGATTGGGTGTGTATGAGTAGGGAGGACGGGACATGGCCTGGTGAGGAGGCTGGTGACTCCTCCCTGGCCCCCGACCTCCTTCTGTTTTCAGGGAAGGGGGGGCCCGCATCTCCTTTCTCCTTAGCTGCAATACTAATGCCTGTGGCTTCTCTATGTTAATCAGTTAACACAAGGATTGAATTGTCCTCGTGATAGGCACTAGCTAGGCATCAATGGGGCTTATGGTCCAGCGGGGCAGAGAGTGTGAAACTACTAATGAATGATTGTTTAATTACAGTTATGCAGTACAGGTCCCTACTGCTTTTGTAAGATGTGACAGCAAATCTAATGGTGAGCCAGAACCGAGAGCCTGTGCGCCAGGGCCTGTGTCCCCACCAGCAACCTTGGAACAGCAGGGCTTGAACCCAAAATCAACAAGCGTGAGGCCACATCTTTGCAGGACAGCGGGTCTTGTGTGACCAAGATGCTCCCCACAGTGGGGACATATGTAAACACCCCCATTCCCCTTCCACCACTCCCTCTACACCCCGTTTTAGGAGGACTTTCTCAAGCTCCATTTTTCAGATGGGTAAAGTGAGGCCTAGAGAAAGGAGCCTATTTGCTCTCTGGGTCCCAAGTCAGTAAGGAGAAGCCAAAGCCAGGTTTCCCAGCACCCTGCGTGGGGCTGCCCACGTCCCCACAGTCCATTCTCTGTGAGCCCAAAAATTAGAAACAAAGCTGCTCTGTTTACCGAGAATTCTATTTTCCCCATTGTTCTCCACTAGGGACATTCCTGAATTGGTAAAAAAAGGGACTGGTTCAGCCCAAGTCCTGGCAGTTGATCAGCTGTGCAAGCTGGGAGACAAAGGGGGTTAGGAGGAGTCTGAGACTTTAAGGAGCCCCCAGCCTGAGGTGAGACAGAAAGTAGATGCTCAGGACACTGTGATCAGGTCAAAGGAAGAGGGGCACCAGGGGAGGGGCCTGGGGACACAGAGGGACAGCCCCCTTGGAGAGGGGGCAGCTGGAGCAAATGGGACTGGCAGCCTTCTGTGTGTCCAGGACAGCCTGTGGGAGAGTCTGGGGGTTGTGCAACATGGGGAAGGGGCGATAAGGGGAGGGAGAATTAGGTGGGCAGGTGAAGGGGGAAAGGCATTCCACTCAGGGAACAGCAGGTGCAAAGGGATTGAGACCAGTCAGCCATTAAGAGGGTGGGCTGCAGGGGTGGGGGCCTGCCCTCTTTGAGGACGACACCCCTTAGGATGCTGAGAAAAGCAGAAAACCCTCCTCTTTCCCCTCAAATGCAAATGTCCGCTTATATGCGATATTTTAAAGTTATTTTTACCTTTTTATTGTGGCAAAATATGCATAACATAAAAATTACCATTTTAAACATTTTAAGTGTACAATTCAGTGACAATAAACACATTCACAATGTTGTGTGACCATCAACACTATTTCCAGAACTTTTTCATTGTCTCAAACAGAAACGCGGTACTCATTAAATACCTCCCCTTTCCCCCATCTCCCCAGCTCCTGGCAACCTCTGTTTGACTTTCTGTCTCTAGAATTTGCCTGTTCTAGGTACTTCAATATACGGTATATGCAATTTTTAAAGAACAGCTTATTGAGGTAAAAATTGACCTGCAATAAACCGCACAAAAGTATACAATTTGCTAAATTTTGAATAGACGTACCATAACCCAGACAACGGCTGTATTAATCACTGCCAAGTTTCCTTATGCCCTTTGAAATTCCTCCCTCCCCGCACACCCACTGGCCTGCTTTCTGTTCCTATAGATTAGTTTGGATTTTCTAGAGTGTTAAATAAATGTGCTCTTTCTTCGGGGAGGGTTTTTTTTTTTTCACTCCACAGAAGTATTTTGAGCTTCATCCACGTTGTCGTGTATATCGATAATTCATTCTTTGCGTTGTGAAGGGTTCCGTTGTATTGATCTACCACATATTTTTTTTTAAGTCTGTTCACCTGTTGATCGACATTTAGGTTGTTTCCGGCGAGTAAGTGGAAACACAGTGGATTTTTGTCCACTGATCTTGTGTCCTGCGACCTTGCTGAGCTCGTTTATTATTAGCTCAACTTGTTGCAGGTGTTGGGGGAAAGCATTCAGGCGTTCACCCGTTCGCTGTACGTTTCTCATAGATGCCCTTTTCCGGGTTGAGTCAATTCCCTTCTATCATGAGTTACTGAGAGTTTCTCTGTTGGGAGCGGATGTTGAATTTTGTCAAAGGGGACCAAGTCCTCTGCATCTACTCAGGGGATCATAGGTTTTTCTTTTTTAGTTTGCTAACATGGGGGATGTACAATGATTTATTGTCAAGTAAAGCCAACCCTTCATTCCTGGTACTGCAAGAGATTAATTTAGGACATGCGGATCCAGGTTCCTCCTGGGGCTCCTGGGTCTTGTGCCCAAATGAAGACTGGGCATTGGGTGCTCAGTCACCCAGGTAGAGGGAGGGAGGGGAAAAGGGCAAGGGCAGAGGGGGCGCGGGCCGCCTGACACAACAGCCTGAGCCTGCCCACGTGAAGCCCCAGGTGAGCCTTCCCAGGTGAGCCTCCCACCAACAACGTGTGCCGGTGAGGCGGCCTCTGCTCTCGCGCTCTCTTGCCCGGGAGACGTCGGGCCTCGCGTCTCCTGGAGCCTCGGTTTCCGCACCAGCGAAACGGAGCTGGTGGTGGCTGGGCGGCGGAGGCGGCCAGCCTGTGCGCCCCACGAGGGGGTCCTCATCTGAGAAACGAAGGTAATGACCCTTTCTCCCTGGGCTGCTGTCCTCCATGAGCCCAGGGTGACAAACCACTTAGATGAGATGAAAGCGCCCACCGGCCCGGGTTCTGACCCGGATGCCTCGGCTCAGCTGTGTGACCTTCGGCCAGTGGCTCAATCTCTCAACCTTGTGTCTCCTCATTTGCAAAGTAGAGCTCACGAGACCGAGACCGCAAGATGTGAGATACTGATGATAAATCAGTGTCATTGCGCAGATGAGCTAGCAAGGGCGCCGGCAAACGCTTGGCATAGAGTGTGGCACGTGGGAAATGCTGGGTAACTTGCGGGCTGAGAGCTGGGGCGGCTGCGGCGGAGACTTGTCCTGGAGCTGGAGGAGCCACAGGGGCGGCCAGGGTCAGAAATGCAGCAGCAGAGGAGGGAATTTACCGTGCCCTGGGGGAGGTTTGCAGCGGTGTGCCTTTGAGTGGCGCTGCCTCCAAGGCAGGCGTGATCTCTGGGCCCTACTGAGGTACCAGTGGGGAAGGGAGGCTCAGAGCTAGAGCTAGAAAGGGAGCCCAGGTGCGCCTGGTCATTTGGAGAGGTTTGCAAACTTCCAACAGGTGACGGATAGCCCCAGGATTCCACACTGAGGCTAGGAGCTGAGAGAGGAGAAAGGAATCAGGGTAGCCAAGGAAACTTGGTGGACCCTTCCCTTCCCCATCCTGGCCTTGTGCCTGGTTTTCCTCCAGCTTCTCAGACTGTGGAGCGTTTCGCTGACCCAGTTCTGCTTCTATGTGGGCACTTCATCATCAGGCCCAAGTGTCCAACTCATTCATTCAGATGCTGCTCACCAGATGTTATAGTCCCCCATGCGCTGAGATGGCGCCAGGCGTGGGGACTCAGTGGTGAGGCCAGAGCATGGCTGTCTGCTGGAGGCTAGTCTTGGCGGAAGACAACACCCAAGTGAAAACAGTAAAGGTAATGTCAGAGTGGCCAGTGTTTATGCAGAAGTGCCACAGCGGGTGCAACAGGAAGTGACCTGGGGTAGTCAGAGAAGGCCTCCCAATGCAGGTGATGTCTGAATTGATGAGAAGGAGCCAGCTGGGCAGAAATCTAGGGCGGAACATTCTGGCAGAGCAAACAAGCAAAGTCCTTAAGGAGGAGTCAGTGTGATGAGTGGCTGGGCGGTCAGTGCTGGGGCAGTGGGTGGAGCTGGGGGAGGGATCCCCTTGCCAGGAAGTCAGGGGGAGAAGTTAGGATTTATTCTAAGTGCAGATTCCAAGAGTCTTCTGGAAATGAGTGGAATTGTATTCTTCCCTCACCTTCTGTCTTTTGTGATTTGATGGGGGGGGGGGAGAAGCTCTGTATTTTTTTTAAGAAATACATTTGAGGGCTCTCAGAACTGGAAGGAAGGGTTAGCGCCCACTGGGTTAGATCCCCTTTACCCACTGTTGTACCTATTTCCTGGCTGCTGTAGAGTGCAAGCCTCTGCCAGGAACAGCAGACTCTTGCCGGAGATACTTGGGAGGTTACAGTACTTCTTCCCTCACCCAGAGGGCCACTGATGGAGTCAGGGGGCCGAAAGCCCAGTCTCCTTTAGATAACTCTGTGGTGTCATCTAAAAATGCTTCAGAGCCTCTGAGACTCGCCCTTCCCTATCTTGCTCCCCTGCCTCCCTCACAGGTGTCTCCTGAGAGCTTGCCCTGAGTAACTCATGCAAAACTGAATCCCTATCTCCGGCTCTGCTCTGGGCCATTAAGCCACGCTCAGGCTATTAAGAGGCCATGTGTTCTCTGGTTTAGAAATTAGGGTCCTGGGACCAGAGCGTTGTTCCTTCCAGCTCTGAAAGTCTCTAAAACTGTGTGATTTACTCAATCACACAGCGAATTAGTGGCAGAGCTAGGTCCACAAACCACTCACAGCCTGAAGACACCAGGGGCAGGGGTGGGGCCTGCTGATAAATGAGGTGCAGACGCCAAGGTCCAAGGTGCCAAGTTCCAGGGTTGCAGCTGTGGGTGGCCAGCCTCTGTGCTCCCAGATGGAACTTCGTTTTAGGTAAGGCCCCCCTCTGCCTTGATTATGCCAGGGACCTGTGTCTGAACTCCACCCCCTTCTATCTGTTCTGGAATAATTCACAGTGAAGTGTAAAAGACTGGCAGCTCAGAGACCATGCATGTTGTAAAGAAGATGCTTGTTAATCCAAATAAATTTTTAATTCGATGGACTTTCTGTCAGGGTGATAAAGTGAGTTGGAAAAATGTATACAGTACAATTCTGTTTCTGAGGTCATATCGGGAGATTCCTCAGCTTTCTCTCCATTTGTGCTTCGCCTCACCCTCCCTTTCCCATAATCAGACCACATGTATTGCGAAATGCTCTGTGTCTACCTCAGGTTCCCACAGCAGAGCCTGTCAAAGGTGTGAGTCACTGGAAGGGAAGGTGACTCAGCTAAACAATAATTCTGCCAAAAATGCCTTTTTTTTTTTTTTAAAGCCTGGTGGTTTGAGTTAAGCTTCCTGGTTAAGTGGCTTATTTCTCGGAAGAGCAGAGGACTGTGTATGATTTAGTAAACTTCCATGCCATTTTCTAAAGGGTTGGCATCCCTTATTGGCTCAGGAAAATTTGTGGCATAGGTTGGGGGACACCAGGGGCAGGCACTTCTGAGGGATGGCAGCCACCCTGAGAGAGGCCTCACCCACCCTGTCTCTCTGCCCTTACCACCCAAGTGGCCTTGGGCAAGTCATGCACTTTTCCGCAAGCATATAGCTTCCTTATCTGTAAAATGAGTGGAACTGAGTATTCCAGAATCTTGTTACTCAAAGTGTGTGGTCTGCAGACCAGTAGCATCTGTAACACCTGGGAGCTGGTTGGAAAGGCAGAGTCCTAGGTCCCACCCTAGACCCGCTGAGCCAAACTCTGTATTTTAACAAGATTCCCAGGCCATATGTATGTGCAGCACGACATGAGGAGCCCTGCTCTGGACCAGGCTACTCAAATGTGGTCCTTAAACCAGCATACCAGCAGCATCCGGGAGGAGAAGCTTGTTAAAAATGTAAGTTCATGGCCCCAGACCTATTGAATCACATAGCTAAGGGAAGGGCCTGGGAGCCTAGTTTAACAGCCTCTCCAGGTGATTCTTAAGCAACACTGACTGACCTTGAGAAGCACTGAAGTTCAGGTCTGATGTCAATTCTAGCCGAGGCGTGGCTGTTGCGCGGCTGTTGAACGGCTGTTGAATGACTATCTTGTTCTGTGCTGCTTGGCGGCTTCCTGAAACGCTCAGAGACCAGCACTTCACAGCGATTCTGTGATGTTGTTTTTGTCCTTATCTTTGCTCTGCCAAAGAGAGCACTGATGTTCAAAGGAGTTTAAATGAGTTGCCCAAGGTCTTTCTACAATGTCATGCATAGCAATATTGACGTAAGATTTTTTTGGCAATCAGTGAGCTGTTACAGGGTAATAAAACTCCTTGTAAATATTTAATGTTACCTGTTTGAAACTCTTGAAACAGAGCTGGGGCAGATGTTGTGGTTTTTGATCAAGGCTTAGGAGCTATTGAACTTCAGCTCTTATCTTTCACTGTTTAATGTTTTGATTAGATAATACATTCATATGGTTTGGAAGTCATGTAAAACAGGACCAGAGTGAAAGTTTTTCTTTCACTCCTGGTTCATAACCACCCACTACCCACCTCCCCAGGCAACTGTGTTTAGTTTATTGGGTCTAATTTAATTAAAGCTGGTCCTTGGGAAAGATGATGTATCCCTTCATATATGGTTCCCCTCACGACCCCCAAACTCTCTGGATTTGCAGTCTATGCATTTTTCCAATTCACTTTATCACTCTGACAAAAAGTCCATGAAATTACAGATTTATTTGGGTTAACAAGCATCTGTTTTTAAGGATGCACCATTTCTTGGAGGTTCTAAGCTGCCACTCTTACATATTTTAGTGTGAATAATTCTAATATAGAATCCCTTTTTGCACATACAAATGGAATGTATGTATGTATGAATGCCTTGTTTTACTGAATATATCATGCTGTTTTATTGTGTGATGAACTCACATTGTTTTCAATCTGCTGCTATAGACACTCTTTGTACCTTTGGCATTTTGCAGGTGCATATTATATATCTATCATAAATTCCCAGAAATGAGATTGCTAGATATCTGCATGTGTAATTTCGAGAGAGATTGTCGACTTTCGTTTTCTAAGGTTAGTGCCAATTTACACCTTCTCCAGTTTGGGATGAGAAGTTATTGTTCTCCCATATGTTTTCCAATACATTCAAATTACTGCATTACTGGATTTTTACCAATCTGATAGGTGAAAAACAGTGATTCAACTGAGTCTTAATTTAAATTTGTTATGAAAAGTTTTTAACTTATAATATGTTTAAAAGGACCGTTTTTCTTTCTTGTTCTATGACTGTCTTACTCATATCCTTTGCTTATTTTAAAATTGGATTGTTGTCTTTTTTAATTTCTGGAAGCTGTTTATTTATTAGGGAGATTAGCCTTTTGCCTTTGATGTAAGTTGCATCCAGTTTAGTGTTTCTCTTTTATTTTGTTGATGGTTTGTATGCACAAGTTTTTATTTTTATGCAGTCAAATTTATTAGTCATTTCTTTTATTGCTTCTGAATGTTGAATAGGTACAAAGGTCTTCCTCACTGCAATAGGACATGTCCTTTTTTTTCTTCTATTTTTTACATTCAAATTTTGATCCATTTGGAATTTATCCTGATGTTGCAAGGTATAGATCCAATCTTTTTTTTTTTTTTACCCCCAGATTGTTATCTTTTCCCAGCTGCATCAAGAAGCTACTTTATCATAAGCTGGTTATCACAGGTCCTTTTTCATACATATGTGGGTCTATTTCTGAACTTGTTACTCTTTTCCATTAGTTCCTCTGTCTATTCATGTTCAGTCATGTTCCCATTGTTTTGCTTACTAAGCTTTACAATATTTAAAAATATTTTTTAATATATGGAAGCCCTGCTTTCTTATTTTTTAGACTATTCTGGTTTCTTTGTTTTTTTTCTATTTGAAATTTAAAATCTAGTATCTAATTATACACACACGCACATCTTGGTGTTTTTATTTGAATTGCTTTCATAAAAACTGAAGTATAACACACATACAGAGACATATATAAATTGTATGTATACAGCTTGTTGAGTTATCACAAAGTGAACACAGAATAAAGTGAACTATTACCCAGATGTGGAACGGAAGCCCCCTACCCACTAGGCCCCTAAACAGTCACTCCCCTAGCCTCTTCCAAAAGGTAATCACCCTCCTTGTTTCTTATGTCCTAGATTGGTTTTGCTGTTTTTCTTTTTAACTTTATATACATGGATGCTTTTGCATGTGACTTCTTTTGCTCAGCATTATATTTATAAGGGCTTTATTTTTTTTCCTTCTGTTGCTGGACGTTTAAGTTGTTCTCAGTTTTTGGCTATCACACATGGCTTTTGGTGCCCATATATATGCATTTCTGTTGGATATTTACTTATGAGAGGAATTTTTGGGCCATGAGATATGCATATGTTCAACTTTAGAAAATACTGCCAAACTGTTTTCCAAATAGATGTGTAATAATTTGCCCTCCTTCCAGTAGTGTCTGAGAATTTCGGTTATTCCCCATTATTGTAACACTTGGTTGTGTTGATCTTTTAAATTTTATTCACTCTGTTCTCTGTGTAGTGGTAATTAATTGTGGTTTTAGTTTTCACTTCTCTAATGACTAATGAGGTTCAGCACTTTAAAAAGTATGTTTTGGCCATTTAAATATCCTCTTTTGTGAAATGTATTGGGATTGCTTTAAATTTATACATTAACTTCAGAGAATATACATATTTACAATGTTGAACATGCCCATGTAAGTACATGGTAGGGCCAGCTGAGTGGCACGTTGGTTAGGAGTTGGCTTGGGACACCAGCTCTGAGCAGCAGGGCTCCAGTTCTGATCCCACATTGAGGGCCAGTGACACTGCGCCCTCTACAGCTAAGATGGTGAACAACAGCTTGACCTGGAGCTGGGCTGCCGTGAGTCACTGGCGACACTGTAGGCTGCGGTGGGGCTGGCCTGAAGCTGGCATGCACTTTCGTGAGCTGCAGAGCCGTTATGAGTGGCCGTCCAATGGCCTGCGAGCGACTGCCTCACCCGGAAAGAGCGCAATGATCACAATACCAACATGGGCCATTGAAGCAACGTCCTCCACAACTAGACTGAAGAACAAAAGGACAGCAACTTGTCTGTTCCCCTTCCCCGATTCCCCAACGCTGTTCCCTCCCCCAATTCCCCAATAAAAAAAAAAAATCTAAAAAAAAAAAGAACATGGTATGTCTTTCCATTTGTTTAAGTCTTCTGTGTCCTTAAGTATTGTTCACAGTATTTTAGTATATAGCTTGCATATTTTTTGATGAGTTTATTCTTAGATATTTTATCTTTTTTGTGGAGTCTTTTCTAACTGGCTATTGTTTGTAGTCATTTCTTAGTAGATAGATTCTCTTGGATGTTCAAGGCTTATAATCATATCATCTATAAATGGAAATAATTTACCTCCTTCCATCCAATTCATTATTTTCATTTTTACTCATTTTTACTGAGATATAATTGACATATAATATTATATTGGTTTTAGGTATACAACATCATGATTTGATATAGTATATATAGTGAAAAGGTCACCACAATAAGATTAGTTACTATCCATCACCACACAGTTACACATTTTTTTCTTGTGATAAGAACTTCTAAGATTTATTCTCTTTCAAATATACAATACAATGTTGTTAACTACAGTCACCATGCTGTACATTATATCCCCCCTTCCAATTCTTATATCTCTAATTTCTTTAGCCTATCTAATTGCATTGTCTAGTACCTCCTATACAATATCAATGGGCATGTGTGTATTGTTACTAACTTCAGTGGGAATGTTTCTGATGTTTTTCAGTTAAGCAAAATTCTGGCTTTTATCTGAAATTTATATATTTTATCATGTTACAGAATTATTCACTGATTTCTTCTTTAATGAGGTTTTCTTCAGGAAAAGGTGTTGAATTTGTTGAATGCTTATTTAACATTTATGGATCTTCTAGCATCTATTATTATGTTATATTAAGAAGATTCCTAATATTGAACCATTCTTGTACCTCTGAAATAAATTCCCTTTGGTCTTTTAATGTGCTGTGCCACACTATTGGAGAAACTTCTTTGAGTCAACAGCTTCTGTGGAATCTTCTGGAGAGGGTCTGTGGATATGGACAGAGTCTGTACATATGGACTGAAGTTTATTTTGCTGAAGTAAGAAATCATTAGTTTGATTTTCTTCTAGGAAACCCAGTTCCAAAGTCCTTCCTGGTGTAATGTACAATAGAAACTGGGTTTTTGTTTTACTGAGTTAGAAAAAAACTGCATGATTCTGATTTCAGCCTTTTTCAGTTTAGCTCTTTTGTTGTTTTGGTTAACTTTCAAACCACAGCATACCAAAACCCCAAAAACAAAACTCAACAGCCTTTATCCTGTTATAATTGATTTTGTTTATATAATGCTTTGGAGATATCCCAATAGGCTTTTAGAGTCTCTGGGCTATTATAAAACTAAACT